TTGCCAATATTTTATTATATTGTAAAAATTTTCAATATCTCTAATAATAAATAATAATAATAATAATAATAATTGAATATTCAATGTACATATGTAGTCTCAAGCGGTGTTGTTATTGACCACTGTTATTTCACCTAGTTCTTCAGCTAATCTATATAAAATCGGTACCATATAAAAATGATTAACATATAATATATTTTATGGTCCTACGTGCATAGATTGTTTTCTTTATATTATATTTTGTCGATTAAATTTTATATGAGTTATAAACATTATACGATTAATCTATTTTATAATTTAAGGCTCGTTTACTGGCAACTCATTAATATAAGAATTAACATTAAAAGAATAGCAAATATGTATGTCGCTATATAAACCCAGAAGCGAACCGCTGTTGTGCATTCGAATTTCCGTACTTCATTCGTTGCTTGGTCGCGTTGCGCTACGGAGAGTTCTGTTTGTAGCGGTTGTCGGAATATTTTTTTAGTCGTCTTATTGTTTAATTAAAAATTATTATGGCTAATATAGATGACGGTACGTAAAATTAAATTATTTTTGTGAGAAAATGATATAAAGCTTTTATTGTGTATTGTTTTGTTTTGATAGCATATGGAATGTAAAAAAATGTAAACAAATCAATCGCAAAATGTCAATTTTCCGTATTTGTTTAGTGATGTACAAAAACAAACATTGTGTGATTCGGTTATTTGTTTGTGCTGTTAAGGAAAAATTGCTGTAAAGTGCAAGTGATATCAAAAATTGATGTAAAATGTTTTTGTCGGTTAGGAATATTTAAGGATTATTAATATATTATATATAAATATATTAAATATAATTATATTAAATACAAAAACAACAAAAAATATTACTATATTTATAAAAAATTAGTAACATATTAAAAAAATGTGTAATAATTATGTGAATTTAAAATTAAAAATAATAATAAATTGAATTTAATATTGAAAGTTAAATATTAAATAAAATTATTTATAATAAAACATAATAAATAATCGAAAATATACGTTTATTCATAAATTAATTTAAACAATAATATAACATTCCATAATATTAAAATTAAGAGGCCAATGTAAAATTAAATATGATTTTAACAAAGCGTAATAATTATTAAAAAATTATATGTAATTATGGAAAATAAATTTAAAAAAAAATAATTAATTCATAATAATAATAAATAATAAATATATTTTTATTTATTTGTGAGTTAACATTAAAATTAATTATAATGTTAACTATGAATAAGGGACGGGACTACTAGGTCCTTCGCTCTGCTAATAAATATATAGACCATGTGCGAGTTCGAGTAAATTGATGGTAAATTGAGAGAAATAATAAATTATGTCGGTATGGCAGTAAATATTGGTATTTATTAGAATTTGGAGTAGGATAAATTAGATAAAAAACAGGTAAATTAGATATTAACATTGTGAAAATTTTATAAGATGTTTAATAAAAATAATAAATAATTGCAATAAATAAATAAATATTTACATAAGTGCAGTGCAAAAAATCCCTACAAAATTTCAATTTACTTCAATTTACTCGAACTCACACACGGTCATAATTTTAACAAAATGTTATAAATAATAAAAACTGTTAGTGAAGACATAAATTTTATAAAGAATAATAATTTTATATTGTATTATTATTACTACTAAGAGTTAAATATAAATAATTTAATCTATATAAATAAATCTCAAGGGAAAATAAATTGATAAATTTAATGTTATTATAGAAATTAAATATTGAATAAAATGATTAATATTTGAATATAATAAATAATAAATGCGAATATGCGTATATGCATAAAATACTTTAGAAAATTATAATATTATATTGTATTATTATAAATAGAGAGTAAAATGTAAAAGAATATAATTCTAACGAGTAGTAATAATTATTAAAAGATATATTTAAATATATCAGTGTAAAATTTAATAAGGTTCAATTAATTTGTTTTAATATTCACAGTTAAATCTAATGAAAGTTTATAATTCTGGACGCGTTCGCCTTTAAAACCTAATTAAAATATATTCCAATAACATTTTATGTTTCAATGTCATTCAAATTGAAACAGAATCAACTAATATTAGTGTATAATATATTATTATACACAAAAAAAAATGACTATAATTTTAGTTATATTTTATGTGTTTTGGCTTAAAATTTTATTTGAAAAGATATAATATTAATCTAAAATGAAAAAGAATTGTGCAAACGCCATTTAAAGTGGTTCCCCGATATCAATAAATATGTGCTTCTATTAAAAAATCTTCGCTCTAATATTTTTATAAAAATCTATTACTTCAAAATAGTATTCTAAATTTTAACGAAGCTTTGTCCCTGTTTTGTCACACTCCACTGGTATCTATTCTAAATTTCTTGGAATAATATTGTTTAATATATAATATGTTAAATCAACCACAGTCGTAAAGCTTTGTGTTTTTATTTAAAAATGAATAATTATTTGGATCCAAAAAACCCCGAATCGTTAATGAAAAAATGTGCATGGCTTTACATATTTATATACGATAGATACGTACTCAGTTTAATCTTAGAACCAGTTTGCATCAGAATTTCCGTTTATTTCTAATCATAAAACTCATGGCAATTGCTCTGCCATGAGTAAAGTCGATTATAACAAATAATTATAAATAATAAATATTAATAAGTACTTTGTTTTTAAGTACATAATGTTGAGAGTAAAGTATTAAAATTTATATTTATTGTAAGTAATTAAATTTATCAAGAATTTTTTTTATTACAATATAATTTAAAATCTATTCAATTTTTCTCTAAAATATCTATAAACCATTATAGTCTTTTGTTATGTTTATTGTTATTGACGTTTTGTCTAAGTCTCTACGGCGGCACTTCCAGTGAAGCCGAATATAAGACTACATTCTTAGTGAAGTCAAAAATAGTGCTGCACTTTTATTGAAACCGAAGTTAGTGCTGCGCTTCCAGTTAAGTCGTACTTAAAACTATGCTTGTAGTGAAAATGAAGCTAGGGCTGCACATCTATTGAAGCCGTAGGCTAAGCTTGTAGTGAAGCCAGAACTAATGATGTACTAATGCTATTACAGTCGAAGTTTAGGCTTCGACTTCGGAACTAATGCTTTACTAATGTAATTGAAGCTGAAGTCAAGCCTACGCTTGTAGTTAAGCCGAGGCTACGACTACACTTTAAGTTCAGCCGAAGTTAATACTACGTTTGTAGTGAATACGAGACTAGGACTGCATTTCTATTGAAGTCGTAGGCTAAGTTTGCAGTGAAACCAAAACTAACGCTGCATTTCTAGTGAAGCCGGAGTTAATGCTATATTTCTTGTAAATTCGAAGCATATTTAATGAAGCAGAAGTTAAGGCTATGCGTGCAATGCATCTAACGCTAAGACTGCACTTCTAATAAAGACGAGGCCTTGATTACAATCTTAGCTAAGCCGAGGCCAAAACTGTACTTCAAGTGAAGTGGAAATTGAGCTTTGATGTAGTGAACCTTAAACTAACACCGCACTTAAAGTGAACTCGATTCAAAGAATACATTTTCATTGCAGCCGAATTTAAGGCTACATTTCTATTAAATCCGAAGTAAAAACTGCACTTGTATTGAAGCTGAAACTAATGCAGTACTTCTAGTGAAGCTGAGGCTAAGGTTATATTTTTAGTAAGGTAATAGGTAAGTTAGAATGGATTTCTAGTCAAACCAAACTTACGGCTACATCTCTAGTAAAGCCAAGGTTGAAACTGTTGGTTTACTGAAGCTGAATCTAAAGTTAAAACTTATGCCCAACTCGTGCGATAAAATTACAAAAAAATTCTCAGAGGGTTAAGAAAGTGCTTAAAAATAGATTTTTATAGAAGTTCTGTAATTCATCGCTGCGATTTTGTATAAAGAGCTTTATTAAGCTTAAACATGCGTCTCGAGTAATCTGATGTGAGATCTGTTTTTTTAACTTCTTATAAGTAAAACAACTATATATCAGTTGATTTTGGAGAACAAAATATTGAAAATAAAAAATACAAATAAAAACAATTAAACAGAATATAAACAAAAATATTATTGTTATAAGAACTTTAAAAAAAGTATATAAAAAATAAAAAAAATTAAAATACAAGAAATACAGGTTAGTGATGCAAATAGCATAGAGTTTTAAAATATAATAAAATAAATAAAAAAAACACATGACTTTTTGAACAGAATGGTCTTAATTCTGTTGTTGTTAATCTTTCGATATAATCACAGCTGACCCAGTTAAATGTTTTCGATTGACCCTATAATTTTCTCAACTATTCTTATTAAAAAATATTAATTAAATATTAAATATTAAAATAAGTCACGATTTTTAAAATATACCTTCGTTTACGATGCATATTATGTCTTCATAATATGTATCGTGCACTTTAAACAATTTTAACACAATAACAGAAATTCTAATAGAGCATTGTATGCTTTATGTATATATATATATATATATATAATTTAATTGAGAAAAAAACAATTAAAAATAAAATATTTGTTTTTATAAATAATATTTATTAATTAAAAAAAAAATATTTTTTTAAAAAAAAATAAAAATTTAAATTTATATAAATTTTTCATTTAAATTTATATTATATTTATTTTAAGTATAAATTAATGAATTTTTAAAAAATTAAAATTATCAAAAAAATTTATTAATTTATTTAATAAAACATTTATATTCATTAATTTTTATTATATTATAACACAAGCTATACTAGGTTAGATTAATAAATATCTATATTAATATAAATATTTAATTAATTAATAAATATATATTAATTTTGACTAAAAAATTTAGGGATGTATAAATCGATAAGGATTTATAAATTTTATTATTTATGATTTATCTAATATTTCATTCAAAAATTTTGCCAAATATATAAATATATAATTAATTAATATTATTATATCAAACCATTATCATATTAACCTTATTTAATTAAATTATTTATAAATAAATTTCACCCTTATATATTTATATATAGTATATTTAAATATTATGTAATATTTAATATCTTAAAACATGAAATTTATAATTATATATAAATATACTATATACATATATTTATACATATATTATATATATATTTATATATACATATAATATAATATATACGTATATAATATAATAAATATATATATATTTATTATATATATATTTTATACATTTTTATTGCATATGCTTAATATATTTTTGTATTTTGCTTACTTATTTAATAAAGATAAATAGCTATAAAACTCTTAATAATAAGTTGCAAGAGCAGCCATTAACTACTTCACTTAAAAAATGTTATTTTAAAAACAAATTCCAATTTTATATATTATTAAAAATTATATAGTACAATACACTAACTTCGAGTCAGAATTGTTTATTTATAAACAGTTTGGTTTATATTAAATGAGAATTATAATTTTTATATATACATATAGTTGGATGAGGTCCTAGTGAATTAATACGATAAACATTGTATTCTTTCACTACGAATATTTA